TTCACATTTTATTTTGCATAATCACATAGCTCTCCATCCACCTTAGTTTTGGATACGTTTCAAAGTAAGTTGCAGATATCAGTATGATTTCCCCTAAACATTTTATTATCATTAACTACCTTTAAAAAAAAAATCCCAACCAGATAAAGTGGCTCACACTTGTAATCCCAACACTTTGGGAGGCTGAGATGGTAGAACTGTTTGATTTCAGGAGTTCAAGACCAGCCTGGGCAACCTAGGGAGATACTGTCTCTACAATAAATGAAAAAATTCGCCACGCATGGCAGTGCCTACTTGTAGTCTCACCTACTCGGGAGGCTGAGGAATGAGAGAATTGCTTGAGCCCGGGAGGTGGAGGCTACAGTGAGTTGTGTTCACACCACTGCACACTCCAGGCTGGATGACAAACCAGACCCTGTCCCTGTCTCAAAAAAAAAAAAAAAAATCCTGCATTGACAATTTTGAAGTGTCCAGTAAGTTATTTTGCAAAACATTCTCCTAATGTGGATTTGTCAGATTGTTTGCTGAAGACAAGATTCAGGTTGAATATTTTTGACAGGTATATCACTAATGTAATGACACATCTCTGGTGAGCTCATTAAAAGTACCCATTCTTGGCCAGATGTGGTGGCTCCAGCCTGTAATCCCAGCACTTTGGGAGCCTGAGGTGGGCAGAGCAACTGAGGTCAGGAGTTCAAGACTAGCCTTGTCAACATGGCAAAACCCCCGTCTCTTCTAAAAATACCAAAATCAGCCAGGCATGGTGGCACACGTTTGTAATCTTAGCTACTCAAGGGGCTGAGGCAGGAGAATCACTTGAAACTGGGAAGTGGAGGTTGCATTGAGCCAAGATCATGCCACTGCTCTCCAGCCTGGGTGACAGAGTGAGACTGCATCTCAAAAAAAAAAAAAAAAAGTACTAGCTCTTGAACCTCTTCTCAGAGACTCCGTTTTTGTGGGTTTTAAGTGGGAGCCCAGAATATATTTTTAGTAAGTTTCCCTGAGCGAATCTGCTCTTCAGCCAGTGTGGAAGTTAGCACATTATTTCATACAATGTTGACAGCAACCCATAATAAAATAGATGTCCTTATCCCTGTGTTTAGAATTAGAAGGCTGAGGCTCAGGTGGTTAAGGAACTAGCTGGAGATTACTCACCTCTCCGTGGTAGATCCACACTTGGAGCTCTGTGGTTTTGATGCTGACACAAGCCCAAGCATTGTCCTTTCTGCTAGACTGCCCCCTGCTGTCTGCAACTGTACTGTAACTAGAGTTCTTGCCTGCTGGTGCCAGGCTGGTAGATATTTTCAAGCCAGGGAGGGCCTGAGAAGATAGTTGCTATGACCACATTTGATGGCCTAAACTGAGGCTCTAAACCCTTACTTCACCAAAGTTCCTCCAGCCCAGGAAGCTGTGGGACTCCTGGTCCTGGGGCTTCGGGACGCAGAGCTCACAGCTTAAAGCCAGCATCTGCTTAAATGTTCCATCAGAGCCCTGATGAGATTGTGTGTGTGTGTGTGTGTGTGTGTGTGTGTGTTTCCTGATCCAGCTACACTACTCCAAAGGTGACGTTCAGAGCATGTTTGCCTTGGGCATGGAGGAGCATCATTTTCACATCAGCACCCATCTGGTAGCTGCTAAGGCCAGTCTCACCAACTTCATGTAGCTGGAACATTCCTTCCTGCAGGTGTGTGGAGGACAGCTCAGGCCAAGGGCATGCTGGGGTGGGGTTGGGGGGCTCCTGGGACAGCCCTTGGAGAAAAAAGAAATTGTCCTAATGTCCTGATTCCTGGGAACAAGGGCGGGCAAGGCTGTGAAATGGACAAAATTTGCTGGAGTAGATTATCAGCTGATGTCTTTATCCATCATTTCTTCCTTTGGCATGATTTATGGAACATCTACTAGGTGCCAGGTACTATTTCAGAAGGTGGGGTGTGACCTAAAATGGAACTGATCAATCCTTTCTCTCATCATTTGTGTACTGTAGTGGGGTAGATTAACTACCCAAAATGACACAAATAGATAGTAAGATCTGGAAAAAATGTACTGAAGTGACTGAGTGAACAGGGAGTGTATTTAGATTAGGTGGCCAGGGAAGGCTCCACTGAGGAGGAGGTGCTTGAACCTGCCTTGGATGATAAGTGCAGTCATTTGAAAATCTATGGGAAGGCCAATTGTGGTGGTTCATGCCTGTAATCCCAGCACTTTGGGAGGTCGAGGCAGGCGGATCACTTGAGGTCAGGAGTTTGAGACCAGCCTGGCCAACATGGCAAAATCCTGTCTACTAAAAATACAAAAGATTAGCTGGGCATGGTGGTGCATACCTGCAATCACAGCTACTCAGGAGGCTGAGGCAGGAAAATCGCTTGAGCCCTGGAGGCAGAGGTTGCAGTGAGCCAAGATCATGTCATTACACTCCAACATGGGCGACAGTGAGACTCCATCTCGGAGAAAAAAAAAAAAAGTCTATAAGATTGAGAGTAACTGGGCAGGTGGGTTGGGGAGCTACTGTAGGTGGGGGGTCAGTGAGGGCCTCATGGGGAAGGCAGCCCTGAGAGGGGAAGGACCAGGCTTGCGAAAAGCTGCAGAAGCAGTACTGCAGGAGGCAGGAAAAGCATGTGCAAAGGCCTCTGTGGTGGGAAGGAGCCTAGTGCTTTGGGGAGAGCTGGAAGGGGAGTAAGACGGGGGCAGAGTGCTTGGCGGGTGACAGATCCTGCTGGGCCTGGAGGCCACATGGAAGCACACGATTGCTTTCTGCTTTTGGAAATGCTGAGTCTGGGTGTTGGGGTTGAGGCATTTTTTTAATCCAGATGCTTTCACTCTGCAGCCTGGGAACAGCTCTGGGCTCTTCCAGAGATGAGGGGCAGGGCAATCTCTTCACCCTCCATTCTAATTCCTCTACAGGAATAATGCAGGAGGGCAGTGTCAGCTTCTCCATCCTCCCTAGCCTCATTTCCCAATAGAGATGGGGTGTGGGGGTGCCGTTAGCCTCTCTTCTCCCCCGAGTCTTCCCCTTACCCCCACCACTACCCTCCCATCTCTGTGTCACCTGAAACAGAGGACAGCCTGTGACTCTGTAGCTCACCTGGGCCAACAGCTTCTCAGCACACAGCACCACCTGGGATGGCCGCCTGGCTGCCTCCCCGGGGCAGGTATGTGAGATCTGGCCGCTGTGCCCAGTGTGGGGCTCCCCTTTGTTCCAGGCTTCTTGGCTGCCCCCACTCCCAGGTCATGTCCTCTATTCTCTTCCCTATCTGCTCCAGGAAACTTTGGGCCTGTATCCCCTCCAGGCCTGTGGGGCCATAGCACAGCCTGTAGACGTCTTCATTGAACAGCTTGACCTGTCCTGGGGCCAGCAGTGTATGCGGCACAACTTGACATACGAGGTGAGGCCTGGGGAGCAGTGTCCAGGCAGGGAACCCCCACATGGCTCCACATGCTGCAGGAGTGCCCCACCCTGAGACTGTGTGGTCTTGAGTTTCAGTGCTTGGGGGATCCTGGGCAACTCACTTCCCTGCTGTGCACCTTGGTTTTCTCACCTGTGAAATGGGTACAATACTCCCTTCCTACCTGGGATGTGGTAAGAGCTCTGGAAGACCAGAAAAGCATGTGTTTCCAGCATGAGATGCTGGAAACAGTTGGGGAGGGAGGTGGGGTGCTGGTGGGCTCCTCAGGAGGAGACGGAGGGAGATAGGGAGCTCAGGTCCCTGGAGGCATCAGGGACCAGGTCTCCTCTAGCATCACTACCTGATGGGCTCCTCATGGGGCTGAGCACTGTTCTGCAGAGCCTCGGGCAGGAACCTGCCCATGGAGAACTGGCCCTGGAAGCCCCCTTCCTCCTCTGGGCCTCCCATCTGGGTTCCTGGGGCTCTTAGGCCCATCCCCCTAAGTGCTCACAGCAGAAATTCTGCCATCACCAGGATGCAGTGGCTCATGCCTGTAATCCCAGCACTTTGGGAGGCTGAGGCAGGAAATCATCTGAAGTCAGGAGTTCGAGACCAGCCTGGCCAACATGGTGAAATGCTGTCTCTACTAAGAATACAAAAAAATTAGCTGGGCATGGTGATGTACACCTGTAGTCTCAGCTATCTGGGAGGGTGAGGTGGGAGACTCACTTGCACCTGGGAGGTGGAGGTTGCATTGAGCCGAGATTGTGCCACTGCACTCCAGCTTGGGCTACAGAGCAAGACTCTGTCTCAAAAAAAAGAAGAAGAAAATCCTGCACCAGAGTGTAAGGAAGTGCTGTGGCTGATGACGGCTCTGACGGTGGTTTCCTGGTGCATGTTCTTGCTAGGTGAGAGTCTCCACCTGCAGCTGGCCATGGGCATTCTCTTACGTGATGAGCCCCTGTCATATGGGCCCTCTCATTCCAGAGGCATCGGCCATCTCAGCCAGACAAGATCATCATGGAGGCCCTGCTGGAGCACGTCCTCAGGGCCTCTTGTGCCCAGCAGAGCTTCTGGGGAGAAGTACAGACTGACTACGCACACTGGCTGTGTGGCACTCCATCCACCTGGGGCTCTGTGACCTGCCCAGGGTGAGTCTGCCCTGGGGAAAGGGGCAGCTCGAGAACCAGGGACCCGTAGTGATGGGGCAGTATGGAGGGTGGTGCCCGCAGAAGGCAGGGGTGTGAGCGAGGCAGCCAGATGCCAGTATGGTGGCTCTGCCATTTGCCTGCTAGGTGACTGGGCAGGGCAAATCTCTCTAAGCTGTCAGTGTTTCATCTGCGGAATGGAAGCAGTGGCAGGTTCCAGGATGTAGGGTGATGGTGGGAGTTAAGAGAGATGTGATGCAGGAATGTGCAGCCTTGGTGCCTGGCAAGGCTTGTGTTCTCTTGGGGCCTCCGAGCCTATCCCCCACCCCATTCTAGACACCTGTCCTGTCCTGGTCTCTGCCATGCCCCAAGGATAGGCGCCTGCAGGAATTTAGGTAACCTGCTCAGTGCCTGGGGTGTTATGCCAGGTGTTACCTGCATCTCCTTGAACTTGCTTAGACCTTTGCAGTGGTTCCTATGCAAACTCGGAAAGCCTGGGCTGTTGGCAGAAACACCAGGGAACTGTGAATGTTAGAAACAGAAGTGCCCAGGGTGCCCCCTCAAACCAATTAAATCAGAGTGTCTGGGTGGGGCCTGGGAAGCCATATCTAAGTTGCCCTGTGGAGGCTGCTGCTGGGTTGGTGGGCTCCTGGTTGCCTTTTTTTTTTTTTTTTTTGGAGAAAGAGTCTATGTCCCCCATGCTGAAGTGCAGTGGCACCATCTTGGCTTACTGCAACCTCCGCCTCCCGGTTCAAGCTATTGTTCTGCCTCAGCCTCTCAAGTAGCTACGACTACAGGTGTGTGCCACTACGCCTGGCTAATTTTTTGTATTTTTAGTAGAGACAGCGTTTTACCTGGTTAGCCAGGACGGGCTCAAGCTCCTGACCTCATGATCCACAATCCACCTGCCTGGGCCTCCCAAAGTGCTGGGATTACAGGTGTAAGTCACTGTGCCTGGCCTAGATGGATATTTAAAAAATTGTTTAAATCTATTTGCTAAAAGACTAGCTAATTTTTGTGTTTTTGGTAGAGACTGGGTTTTGCCATGTTGCCCAGGCTGGTCTCAAACTCCTGGGCTCAAGTGATCTGCTCACCTTAGGCTTCTAAAGTGCTGGGATTACAGGAGTGAGCCACTGTGCCTGGCCCTGAGTATTCTCATGGGTCCTTTCTGTGATGAGACACTGGGAGACTTTCGGGAAGGATGTGGCACAGGGAACCTGGTGCCCTGGAGATTGGGTGTGGTTATTGTGCCTTCCCTTTGTTTCCTACAGTTCCAACTGCAGCCTCCTCAGCCAGCCTCTTCCTGAGCCTGGGGCTGGCAGGAGACAGAGACCAGGGACAGGCTCCACTCAGGACTTTGCCTTCCTGCTCCCAGCTTCGCGGATCCGAGGCTCAGCGGGATGGCCTAGTGGGAGGTGTCTCCACCTCAGCTTCTCAAAGCCTGGTCCAGTTGGAGGGAAATGTGGACAAGAGGGAGGAGAAAGTGAGGCTGTCCATGTCTAGGGCCCTAAGCTGTCTCCAGCCTTCTGTGTCCCATGAGGAAAGTGAGTGGCAGCTGGGTCCCAGCTAGGCTCACTGGATCATGGAAAGGAGAGGGGTCTGGGCATTAAGATTTCAGAAGTCGGGACTGGGCCCAAGGGCTCACACCTATAATCCCAGCACTTTGGGAGGCCAAGACAGGAGGATCGCTTGAGCTCAGGGGTTCGAGACCAGCCTGGGCAACATAGTGAGACTCCCATCTCTACTTAAAGCCTGGTGGGATGGTGCGCTCCTGTGTCCCAGCTGCTGGGAGCAAGCTGTGATGGTGCCACTGCACTCCTGCCTCAGTGACAGTGAGACCCTGTCTCAAAAAAAGGCTCAGGCAACCCTGTCAGGACTGCATGGCATCCCTCACTGACAGCCATGTCAGGTGAGGCTGCTGGGAAGGGTATAGAAGAGGGGGCTTCAGATGGCTCAATAGGTTGACTGAGGTGGTGCAGCTGCAGGTTCTCAAGTCCTAGGGCTTTGAGGCTTGGCCTGGGGCAGTAGGGAGCTATGGAAAGCGGTGGAGGAGGAGAAGGCAGCTGGAAACATCTAGGTGCCCCAGCAGATCCCCTTCTGGCTCCAGGGAGAAGAGAAGAGAGTGTGGTGCTGTGGACATGTGTCCACGGGTGGTCAGCAGAGGTGGAGGTCCTGTTCCGGGATGGCAGGCAGCCCTTCTAGCCCCTGGGATGCCTGACCCTGCAGACTGCCAACCACAGCCTCCTGCTGGCTGCATACGGCTGCCAGGGGCGCCTGCTGGGCCATGTGGAGGTGAGAGGGCCTGGACTGGGACACAGGGAAGGGGTTACCGTTCTTTGGGCAGAGACCACAGTGCCAGGAACCCCGAGTCCTTTGGGTCCATCTGTGCCCAGAAACCAGAGCACACGGCCCCAGGGTGAGGCCTGCACCTGCCCCTGGCACCGAGACCTTTTGTCTATTTCATTCCTATGCGGCCCCTAGGGAGTCCCAGCCTCTTCTCTGTCCTAACAGTCCAGGATTGCAGCAGTTGGCTCCCAGGTGCAAGCCTGGCTGGAAAAGAAGGTTCCAGCGCCTGGTGAGTAGCACAGGGGGAAGGATTGGGTGGAGAGCTCCCCCTCTGGCCTGACTTGTAGCTCCCACTTGCCAGGCATCCCACCCTGGGCAGGAGGGTCTGGGGCTCTCTCTTCCCTGGACCTCAGCCTGATTCTGCCTTGGCTTCTCTGCCCAGGTACAGCCGGCAGGCACCCTGGATGGTGTGGCAGGCCTCCTCCTTTGGCTGTCCCAGGCAGGGCTGGAAGCCGTGCAGGCAAGTGGTAGGGCAGTCACCACCTTGTGGGGCCAGAGCCAGGCCAGGCAGGCACTGACCCAGCACCTGCCTCTTTACCTGGACTGGCTGCTGGTGGGGCTGGAGCAGCTGTGGAATGAACTGGAATGTGAGTGGGGGAGGGAGGGCTCAACCCTGCACCAAAATCCACGCCCAGTCCTGGGCCCTAAGCCCTCACATTGGCCTATGGCACTGTTTCAATCAGAATGGTGGCCTTGCTTCCCACCGGCCTGCAGCCCAGCTCTGTTGAGACCCCCACCTTACTTCTAACAGACCTATAGCCTTGGGTTCTTTTGTTTTTGTTTTTGTTTTTACACGGAGTCTCGCTCTGTTGCCCAAGCTGGAGTGCTGTGGCATGAATTTGGCTCACTGCAGCCTCCGCCTCCCGGGTCCAAGCGAGTCCTGTCTCAGCCTCCCAAGTAGCTGGGGCTACAGTTGAGCACCACCAAGCCCAGCCAATATTTCTATTTTTAGTAGAGATGGGGTTTCACCATATTGGCCAGGATGGTCTTGATCTGTTGACCTTGTGATCAGCCTGCCTTAGTCTCCCAAAGTGCTGGGATTACAGATGTCAGCCACCGTGCCTGGCCCAACCTTTTTTCCATGGTCTGCTGTCTTATTCTTACAGGGTCACCAAGCCTGCTGCCTAGGTTTCTCCAGTCTTCTGCCTGCTTTCTTTTGAGGGGACAGCCTTATTTCTGTGAGGCTCACTGCCACCCGCAGGGTCTCTTTCGAGTTCCACACTGAGCTCTCTGTGGCCTTGTGGTCGTTAAACGCTCACAGCTACTGCCCTCCTGGCAGGACTAAGAACTTCTGGCCTCTCCACCATCCAGGGCTAATATCCGGCTGAGTGCAGAGCCCCCAAGATCCTGCCCAGTGCCAGGGTGGGCGTACCTCTCACTGCCTGTTGAATGTCACCTCTGTATCCTCTGTGCTGTGCCAGAGTCCTATGGCTGCCCACACGGCAGTGAATTTGAAAGAGTGCTCCATGACTCTGCACACTGTGCTGTTCGCAGCTGTCATCGACTACAGTGACAGGAGGCAGGAGTGTTGGCACAGGGAAGGGGGCCGGGGTGGAGTCCAGGGGGAACCAGCGCCAGTACCTAGTGTCCTCTCCCAGTCCCAGTGCCTTCACATGGGAGGCACTTGGCTGTCCCAGCACTATGTGACCCAGGGTGTTTAGTGGGGCTGCCCCATTGGCAGGTGCTTCTTGGTGCGGACCATACTGTCAGACTCCTAGGAGGCAAGCAGGGGTTCAGCATAAACCACGTTTGTGCAAACAGCTCAGGTGCAGAGAGCCTTGTATCACTTTCTAGGAGTGGTGGGAACCCTCCCCCAATCCAAGTTCCCAGACAAGCTATGAGCAGGCCATGCAGAGGCGGCTCAGGTCTGCTGTGACAACTCACCCGCAATCTCCAGTGCCTGCTGCTCTATCCCTTTTCCCCCACTCCCCCACCATCTTTACCCCAGGAAGAGGCCCTGTCTCCTTGAGGCCTGGGCTCAGCCTCTGACCTGCCCAGAGGCCTCATGGTGGGTGTTGGCTGCCAGTTGCAGGGCCCTTGGCCACGCTGAAGGACTCCTACCTGGAGGTGATGCTGCGGTCCCTGAAGGAGGTGTTATGGGAGCGGGCAGAGGAGGCCATGTGGCAGCTGCAGACCTGGATGTCTGGGATGCCAGGCAACGGGGATCCCAGGCCCATCAGGGTGGCCCTGGGGGCCATGAATGTCACCCTGGAGCTGGTGAGTGAGAGCAAGGATGGGGCATGGCTGGCAGCTGAGGACGACCGAGATAGCTCTCACTGTCCCCTCCCTCTCCAGGTGGCCTACCAGATGCTGTCCTGGGCTGAGGCCACATTCTCATGGGCACAGAAGAGGCTCTGCAAACCCCTGCTGGACCTGTATGGCCTCACAGCCAGGTAACGCAGGGTTGGGAGTGGCGCATCCAGCGTTCCTGCCACATATCAGGCATAATGCTGAATGCTTCGACACGCGCTGACTCACTGACTCCTCTGGCTGCCCTGCACAGAGGCTTCTTCACTCCCCATTTCACAGGAGAGGAAGCTGGGGTTTCTTCCTCACTCCATAGAGATCTCATGAGCACGGTTCCAGTGCAGGCAGGATTTTAGGAGCTGCTGCGGAGGAGCGCAGTGGGCAAGCCTGACCCCTGCCTTCAGGAAGCTCAGTTTTTCTCAGAGACAGACACGAAGCCCAAGAAATCATCTACTGCAGGGTGTGCACCGCTCCCTGCAGAGAGCCTGAGAGTCACCTCTTAAGCAGGCCATTCTGCTGCCACATTTCCTTTTGTTTTGTAATCATCTTTTTTTCTTTTTCTTTTTTTTTTGAGATGGAGTCTTGCTCTGTAGCCCAGGCTGGAATGCAGTGGTGTGATCTCAGCTCATCATTGCAACCTCCGCCTCCTGAGTTCAAATGATTCTCCTGCCTCAGCCTTCCGAGTTGCTGGGACTACAGGTGTGTACAACCGCACCTGGCTAAGCTTTTGAGTTTTTAGTAGAGGCAGGGTTTTGTCACTACAGGCTGGTCTCAAACTCCTGACCTTAGGTAATTCATCCCCCCCATTGGCCTTCCAAAGTGTTGGGATACAGGCATGAGCCACCACTCCCAGCCTGTTTTGTAATCTTTTAAACACACAAATCCCTT